TGAATAGCAAGAGAATCCTATATGCATTCGTCAAGAAAAGTATTAGTTAACGTGATGAGAAAACATTTTGAAATTGGCAATTCAATGAATTAAAAAAAAAATCTAGAATGTGAAGTAATATATAAAATCGATTTTGTTGATAGATGAGATATGATTTTTAAAAGAGCATCAAAATTTTGAACAAATTGGATAAAAAAATATATGTATAGTTTTGTTTTCTCATCCACCATATATTTTGTTGCACAACATATTTTTTACATTGTACCACACCGCAAAGAAAAACAAGAACACCAAAGAAGTCTACGCTAGTGGAGAACAATCTAAATACCTAAAAGTAAAGAATAAGAATCAAATTTTAGAATGGGTTGACGAGCTAACATCATAGCTTTGGAAATACATTGTTGTGCGGAAAATAATAAAGCAAACCTACTGGAATATTGTAAATTTATATTTGTGCTGAAAATAATAAAACAAACCTATTGAAATATTGTAAATTTAGATTTGCATAACGGTGGCAGAAGTATTGATGTTGAGATAATAGAATGTGCATTGGTAAAATAAAGTTTAGCACAAAAAATAAATAAATAGATAACCTACAAATTTGTTAACACCACTCTTAATAAATGAAAAAAAAAGATCAGTATAAAAATAGTATACTCACATATATCCATCCAATTTAAGAGTAATTTTCGTAACCTTCAGGAAACACCATTTCAAGTATAACCTTATAGAACTAATAAACGTAATTTTCAGAAAACCGATAAAAATTATTTTATTCATCTCTTAAATTTCAACATTATAGACTATCAAGCCCCATCACCCAATATTATAATTTCAAAACCAAAATACACAGAAATAATTAGAACAAATCAAAATCTACTAAGCCAAGATTCATACCATTCCATAATCACAAACCAAAAAATGCATCAGAAAATATATAAAAATAAAAGATAAAGACATGTATAAATCAGGAAACAAATAAATTTGCACCAAGCAAGACATATATGTTATTGTAACAGTATAGATAATTGTGCATCTTATTGATGTATGAAAACAAAAAAAAAATAGCAATATACCCCTTTCATCTTGGTTCCTCACACCCTTAATTGATTCAGAAGTTTTTCCCTCGTCGTTAACCCTTCTTTAATAAGAGAAATCCTTTCGTATAGAATTAGGTATTGTAAACTTTTGATCTTCAAAAATGATGCCATGAATAGAAAGAAAAAAAAAATAAAAATCCAGTTGTTATAACTTATACAAACAAATTATAAAGTAACAAGCACCTGGAAAATAATAAGCTGAAAATATACATAGAGATAAAACGTAATCCTCCATTATACTTTTCTATTACACTGTTCAATGAAAAAACTTAGTGATGTATTTTTTTATGACCTAACATTTCTTCTTCTCGGATCATAGTTTTGATTGGCCTTGTCTGCAGCCCCTTGTTTTTAGGGAAGAAAAGCTAGTGAGATGCTTGCTGGATTTGCTTCCACACTACGATATGATAGGTGCATAGAAAATAGAAGTACGGTAAATTAAAAAAAAAATATCACAAATTTTCAAGCTTAGATACAAACATGTCCTTAACATAATGAAATGACAACCTATAGAAGTCGTGGCCCATAAGAAAATATTACAACAATCTCAACACGATGACCGAGGTTCTCCAGTAACCAACAATCCTCACGCTTGAACTTGATCGTACTCTTAAGTTTTCTGCACGAGTAAGTAGAAAATAATTTGAATGTTCAGCCCAACTTTTTTTACATACATACAAGTAAACAAATAAAAGACACCAACTTGATATGCTTGAAACTAAAAAAAACTACATTTATTATTGATGTAATTATTAAAAAAAAAAACTAAAGAAAAAGTTGTAAACCAATGTATATATAAAAAGAAAATAAAAAATTTACCTTCGCAGGATATTGATTGAAATAATCCACGCAAATGCTGGCAAGCTGCCAAGAAAAATAATGTCAAAACTCATGAAATGAAAAAAACATGTCATAGAAAATAATAATTGATTTGAGTCAATGCACAGATGTACTGTCAAAACATCTAGGGAGTTTTTTATCATATTGAAAAGGTCTCACGTGAAGAAAATTATTTTTGTTTGACCAAGAACAAAATTCAAGTTTAAAACAAACTTCAGAGACAGCTCCTAAATGCAGTTAGGCTGACTCAGATTCCAAAAACCATGGAGTGCAGAATGAGCTCAAGATTGAGCTCCAAACACAAGAACAAAAAAAAATTAAAGAAACTAATGGAACCACCTCCCATTTCCTTGTTCCTCTAAAAACTCCAGCCAATGTAGGTAAAAGTATGGTAGTAAGTTGATGTGCAATCAGAGGTCCAACAATGAACTATGGATTTTCCACCACCAGATCAATTCCACTTTTTCATCAAATTTCCCTGCCTCTTCTGATATGGTTTTGACATAAGAATACCAAAGGTGCAAACAACAGGATTTTCTTAACAGCGCTAGCTAGATACAACTTTTCCAATACTGAAGAGAAGTTAGATTATTAGAAAATTATACCCCCCGCATTAGATTGGGAAGATAGGAGGAATTTCTTGCACGGAAAGAGTTTTTCAGTATTACGCTTTCAAACTGTTGCTTGATGTAGTTGGATTTCGTTGCTGTGATAGATCAAACAAATCTGATCTGTAAATTTATAGAAAAATAAGTGAAACAAGAGATCAAACCTTACCCATTAAAAAGTAAAAAAAATAGTAAAAAACAGGACATCTCTACAGCATGTGTTGTGCATTCACTAATAAAGTAACCAAATCATCAGAAACCTAAGTACGGTAACATAAACTCAAAGTCAGGGTCATCTGTGACAAACTTAATATTTTCAAACTGGACCAAGAAAAATCACATCTTGTATGGGATAACATACACTCCAATTTTTCTCCTCTTTCTTTTTGTCCCAGAACAACTATTTGCATATTATAGATCAAAATTACCTTCAAAGTAGGGATAACTATAGGCGTTCAAATAGAAAAACCCGAACCGAGGCAGTGGCTTGAACATCTGGCTGTTCATAATAAACCCAACTCTAGAAACCCCATCCAATTAAAAAGATCCTGCCCCGTTGGAAAAATCTGCAGGCTCAGCCTAATATTTTATTTCATATTCTATTTTTTGTACGTACATTTAAAGTAGTTAGTTTCTTTATTTATCTCATGTAATGCACACCAGCTATAGTAAACTAAATGTGAGAATGCATGGAGAAAAGTTATGAAACCTTGTGAAGGCAATAAGGAGAGAATTCATGAACTTGAGAACTAAAGCCAGTCCCTGCATCCATTACAAGAGCCCAAAGATTTGAAGAAGACGCCACGCTGATCGGGAATGGAGAAAGGGTGACTGAAAGGAGAGGAATCATTACCATCGGTGAAATGAATCTTTTCTCCCAGATCTTCTTTGTAGTCCAACTTAGTATATGTATGAATTCATGTTGCCAGTCTCAGTTGGAGGAATAGTGTGACTTGGCAGCTTTCTTCGAGAACTTGCTTATTCTTTTTTTTTTTTTAGACTCTATATCCCCTAGCTCTTCTCCTCTGTTTCTTCGGCCCATCTCCTTCGGCAATCCTTACTTGATAGTACCTCGATCTCAAGTCAAGCTTCGTAAACCAGCTAGCTTCCCCAAGTTGATCAAACAAGTCCGCAATCAAGGGAATGGGATACTTGTTCTTCACCACCCTAGTTTCATTATTAAGCGGCTCCCTACCCAACCTTACCTAAGTAAGGTAAAGCAGTTTGCAACTCCGATCCCTAAAGGTCAGTTTGAAACTCCCGGGTATAATCCATCCTCGTTTCCTTCATCAATATGCTGAGCTAGCTTAATATCCCAGAAGTTATAGTGAAATCTACAAAACCAAATCCAAATAAATCCATCATTTCTCTTGAGACCTTAAAGAAAGTTAAAGAATTAGTTCAAAGATACCTTTGTTCCATCGGGCGTCAAGCATTATACACACTAATCCACTGTGTAGCCAGCATCCCCATGTGAACTTTCTTTTTGGGTTGCTTGTCATCAGCATCAGCCAGCATAAGTCGTCCGTCTTATGCCCCACTTGATATATAAGCTTCAAAATCCACAAATATAAATAAAATGAGAATAAAATAAAACAAAATATTGCACATATGTTCTGTTGACTGAAAAATGACTATCGATTTTGGGTAGTTACTTTTCCGCCAAGAATAAGTCAATCGTCTCCAGCCACTCCTCTTCCGGATTTCCGACAAACCCTCATAAAACACCTAAACGTGCATGTGAACAAGACATACGAATCACAAAACATCACAATCCATAGCCACAAAAGCAAACTAACATCCCATCATTGCACCTCCTAATTCAATAACTTTACCATTTTTTATTTTTTAATTAATTTATGATAAAAAGAATATGGGGTAGAAAGAACAAAAATTAGGCACACCTTTGAGAAACTACAACAATCTACCTTATTGAGCTTCTCGAAGGTGTTGGCCCGGCAGGTTTCCAGTCCTTAATCCTTCCTAGCGATGTCGCTTATCCACGATGGCCACCCCTCGTTGACACTGGAAATGCCCATTCTATATTGGTACCCACACAAAACTAA